TACGCAGTCGAAACCAGTCAGAATTGCTCAACTTTATATCTGACCGTCGTGGACTGTGTTTCGAGTTACGCCCGAATGAAGGTCGCATAAATGATCAACAGTGAAATACAACATTAAGAAGCGACAGAATCGTTGCCTAGTAAAACTTCTAAACAAACTTATAATATCAAACGTAATTAAAAATAAATTAAAGCTCATATAATATGAAAGAAATGTAAAATTTAATGAAATTTTGAGTAAATTCTTAGATAAATTATTATTATTTTAACAAAAATGCTTTAAAAAATATGCTTTATTCAATTCTATAATAGTTTTTTATATTTTATTGTCAAATAATACAAAATAGTTTCTACAAAGTACAATTTCCAGTCTATAACAGTCTATTATTTCCAGTCTGTACTTTGTAAGAATTATATAAAATTGTATTTTGTATAAATTTAGACTTTAAATAGTAGATAATTTATGCAGCGTCATATAAAAAATATTTATGAATAGTAGTAGAGCGGAGATTATTAATAAACAGATATTTAGAAACGTTCTCAATAACCTAGACCTCTTTACATATATTTTTATATGCACAATTAATAGAAATTTATGTCATAGTGATTGTAGCAACTTATTTATTTCTTCCTAACGTAGATATAAATCCAAAATATTCATTACAATCAATATATACTGTATGATACAAAAATTATATATAATATATAAGCCATTCAATTTTGTATTATTATATAGTAAGCAATGAAATGTCTGACTATAAAATGACAAATACTTCAATTAAAAATAAATATAACTAGAAAATCATTATAATTTAATTAATCAATTTTCTGTGTAGTAAATACTTGAGCCCATGTTAATTAATTCTGTAGTGCATTACTTCTGATGTAGAAATCACTATAAATTATTAATATCCGCTAGAAGCGAATGATTGAAAAATATCCTTCTACAGGAAACTGATCAAAGTAATTTTCCTACTTTAATATACCATCAGAAATCAGGATTATTTTATTTAAAAGTATTTGATATCAGATTAAATAAAATAAAATTTATATTTTTCATTAATCTTAATTATCTTTAAATAAATAAATAAATAAAAATATTGTTGCTAGGTGAATTGTGTCTAGCATAGTACTTTCTAAGCATTGTGATAGATACAATTTTATTATATTTGCATTTATGATATTTATTATTTTGTATTTTTTTAATTATAAACTATGTATTTATATCATTTTCATGTCAGAAATCAATTTTGAAGGTGGAAAGTAATTAGAAAATTAATATTTAGCTTCAAAATATAGTTTATTTGTTGCTGAATTGTGCGTTGTAATATTATCAAAATTGACAGTCATAAGTGCAATACATTGGAATTTCCTAACATACTGTACCTCTGCATATAAAACCTTTCATTATTATATAACTCCATGACCTATAATTAATATATAGAATTAAATAAAATATATGAATTAATGAATTAAATAAATATGAATTAAATAAAATTATAAGCAATAACGACCACCTCCCAACTACGGTCACCTCTAAAAAACTGACATTTTTATGTTTTCTTCTGTAAGAAGCCCAGTTAATTATGAATCCTAAACAATTGTTTAATTTATCTAATTAAATATAAACATTGTTGTTACGTATTGCTTAATTGTTCTAGATTACACTAATTAAATACTACTAAAACAGGCTTGTATGTAGGCTATGTTAATTATGTTTTTTCTATGTAAATTTACTTTATGTTATGAAGCTAAATACAGACCTAACATTGTTCATGTCAATTAACAAACTTTTTATTTTTTTAAACTATTTCTCTATATATTTCGGTTTAAAGTGCACTCAAACCTCTAAAAAACGGCCACTGAAAGAAACACAAAAGAATGACCGTTGTTTAATTAAAGGTTATTTCGTATGCATTTCAGAAAGAAACATTCCTGAAAAAAGGCCGCCGTTTAGGGGTGGCCGTCGTTAAAAGGTAGCCGTTATTGAAGGTTCCATGTTTTAATAATCTAATTAATACGAATTTAACCGAATCGTAATTGAAAAATATTAAATTTAAATTATTATTTAGACTTAAAACAATAATTTGTAGATAAATATGTCGTTACTTTATGTTAATAAATATAAAAGTATTTTAATTATTATATTAATAGATGTCTCGATAAACAGGAAACAATGAATTATGATTCAGAAAATGTTATATGAATTTTGAGAAAATGTATTTTTGTTAAATAGTTATAAAATACTTTCATTTTACGGTGCGCTAAATGTTTTACTTTAAATTAACCTGTACAGCAACTACATTTACAGGTATAATTAAAGCTCAAATTTTTCTAAGAATATTGCAGTTTGTCTCTAGAATTTTTTATAATACTTGTCCTTGATTGCCATTCCCTAAAACACAATGTATTATACAATTTAACTAGAATCAACCCTCAAAAATTATATAAATATTTCTTTAATAAGTTATATAAGTCAATATTTATTATATTTTTAATTAATATCTCTATGCTTAATTCACTTATAAATAAACTTATATTAAAGATTATATTATTTGCAAATAGATAGCAATTTTATAATTTTCTAAAATTGAATGTTCTAAAAAATAATTCTGTTTGAATTTCACAATGCAAGGATTTCTCATAATGGTGGGATGATAATAGACGAGAAAATCAGCCATGCTTAAACAAAGCATATCAGAAAAATGAAAGAATTTCTTTCGGATTAAGCAACACAGTCTCATAGAAAACATCCTAAATACATAGAATATATTTTAATATAACTCTTTTATCTTTATTAACGTTTAAATTTAGTGTTAACAAACTGTTTCTCCTAATAAAATATACTGAAAAATAAGATAACCTTGCTCCTTGTTTGTTTATCAAATGCTACTGAATGTTTCCAAGGTTCATCCATTGCGTATTTTCATTGGAAAATCCGAAAATCTTATAGAAATTTCTAGATACTTATTTACAAAATTTATATAAAATCACTATTATCAATTTAAACATTAATAACTCTGTCACGACTGCTTGACATGATATCACTTATTATGAATTATAGAACCAGAAGAATAAAAGACCGGAAATGGATGACTCTTACAGAATAATGCAAAGTTTAAATATAAAAATAACAGCTGATATGTTTAAATAAAGAAAAAATAATAATACTAATCTCGTCTGAATAAATAATACATACTTAATTATTCAAAGAAATGAATATAGGTTAGCAAATGATTCAAATAAACCTATTTACTTTCATTTGAGAAATGGAGAATTTGTTTAAATTGTTATATTTTGTTATAATTTTATTAAAAATTCTATTAAAATATTTATCGATTTTCTTGTTAAAAATGATGTCGTGTCGCTTATAATTTCGTATTAAAAAGTTAAATGAGTAAGTCAAAGATACAGTACGTCTATTCTTAACTGGGAAACGTTATGATTGAACATTTCCTTCCATATTCTCCTTCCTGCTTCAGTCAATAAAATAATAAAAAATAGAACTTATCATACTTTAAAAACTTTTATCAGAAAATTTATGCTTATCCTAGAATATATAGCAATTTAACTGGAAGTACGATAAATATTTAGATAAAAAAAGGGAATATTTTCGTACGTAAACTATTGCAAAATTATTCTTAAAATGTGATAAGAAAATTCATAATTTAATTAGTGATGAATTATTAAAAGATTATTATTGTTATTGCAATTTGTTTATCGAAAATATAAATGAATAATATTCAGAAATTGAATAATTTAAACCACTTAAAACACGTAAAATACAGATAAACATTTTCAAAACAATCACAAAATAATAAAGACATCTCTCTGATAAGAAGTAAAAAAGGAATCTTAAAATAATGTAAATAATAACAAAATAATAAATTTAATCGAGAATAAATAATTAAGTTTAATTATAAATCTGAGAAATTTATTAATTATTTTATAAAAATTATAGTATAACTAATTTTACAAAGTAATAAATATTATTTAATTAATTATGAATGATATTTTAAGTTAAATATTTAGTTGTCTTCTGTTCACCTTTATTACAATAATAAATATAATTACTAAAGATATATTTTTAATATTTTATTAGATATATTATATATCATCCCTAAAGATTCTAAAACAGATATCAAACAACTTAATTAAAATTAATTAAGAATTTAAGTAAATAAACTAAAATATTTTGGTATTTGTTATCATTATTTCTCTTATAAATTCATAAACTAATGTAAAATAATTAATCTTAAGCCTTTGTGTCCTTATTATACAATTTTATTATTTAAAAGTCTATTATGACAGATCGTATTATTAGGACTTATTATACCGGTGTCCAAGTCCTTAGACACCGGTATAATATGTCCTAATAATACAATCTGTCCTAGTAGACATTTAAATAACAAAATAATGTAAAATAAAATGTCTTCTGTTTTTAATAATTGCAACGACATTCTATTCCCAACTTTTGTTTTTAGATTTATGCAGGTTCAGTAACCAATGTCGATTCTTTAAAAAACAAATGAATATGATAATAAATATAAACTGGTTCTGAGCCTGAACCCTGTTGACCGATGCAACCTACATTAGTTTGATGCTACAACAGTAATTGTTTTCTATATATACGAATTACATATAGGCTAAATAGAAATATATAATGTAATATATATGCTGTATTATACAGCAGATTTCAAAAATAGGCACATTTATAAATTTTACCTGAAGAAAATTAAATATTTTACTATTAAATATATAAACTTCATTGTTCAGTAGAAATATTAATGGTTTAATTTAAAATACTTTTTCAAAAGTAAAAAGATGGGAAAATCGATAATTTAAATAATATTTTACTCTATTTTTATTATAGATTTTTGATAACCTGTCTTGTCTTCGTAAAGATTTATTGTGAAACGTTTCCTCGAAAAGTTGTGCAACGTTTTTCCAAGAAATTAGAAACGTCACGTAACCACGTGATTTTCGGCCAATCGAAAAAGGTATCAATTAGCGGAACAAGTTCTCAGTTGTATTTAAATGTGTTTCCAGGATAGGATTGTTGCTATCGACTAGAAGTCATCAGCAACATGAAACTTACTTTAATAACTACGCTGTTTTTCCTAATTGGACTGGCTCAATGCCATGCTCAAAAATGTAAGTTATTCTCCACAATTCCAATATTTATTACTAGTAAAATGAAATTTTCATAATTTAAAAACTGCGTTTTAACTATTAATTAATTGTCAATGGTGTATCAAGAGGACTGTGAACCCTTTAAACAAGTTTCCATTATAATGCTACAGTAGAGGAAGCTGACCTTCTATTTTTCTATTTTTAAAGATCATCAGGCTATAAATAATTTCCTTTGATCCCGGATTTCTCTTTTATTTTAATTATCATGAATCTTTTAAATCACTAAATTTTATTATTTTTTAGTGAAGTTTTGTTCCACGGAGAAAAATCTTCCTTTTTGTTTGAAAATGGCAGAAGAACACAATGATTTGGTCGAATGCGTTTCTCGAATTGATGGGTAATAAATTAAAAATGTTATAAAATAATAAAAATTTTATCGAGTAAATAAGTTTTTAATCTTTTACTTTATTTTCAAAATAGATTAAGTTGTTTGGAAGCTATTGCAGCCCGTGAAGCTGATATCATGAATCTGGATGCTGCGAATATTTTTGTAGCAGGAAATAATTTTAATTTAAGTGTTTTGGCATTCGAACAAAACAATGGAGGTAGACTAAAATTTTATATTCAGAAATATATTTTATATATATATAAAATATTTATTAATATTTTTCTATAAGAACCTTACAAGTACCGATCGGTGGCACTAGTACCAAAGTCTATGGAACTTTCTTCTCTAAATGATTTGAAAGGAAAGAAGTCTTGCCATACTGGTGTTGGTAGAACAGCAGGTTGGCAAATTCCAATAGCTGAACTTACATCGCGAGGGATAATGGATTTACTCTGCAGTGGAGAATTAGCAACTGTAGAAAAGTTTTTCAATCAGAGTTGTGCTCCTGGAAAATGGTCGAATGATCCTATTGTTGACGCTGAATTAAGTGAGTACATAAATTTACAAAGTATAAAATTATATTGCCAAAAATAATATTAAAATTTTAACGAAAAATAGAAAAACAACATCCGAACCTTTGTGCACTTTGTGAAAATCCCGAACTATGTTCAAGGAGCGATCGTTATAGCGGATACGAAGGAGCTCTTCGATGTTTACATGAAGATAGAGGAGACATTGCATTTTCAAAAACAGAAGTTGTCGAGAAATATGTAGAAGACAATCCTGATTTTGCTGAAAAATACGAATATTTATGCGCTGATAATACTAGAAAGAGTCTAAGTGATGGCGCCGATATTCATTGTAGTTGGGGAGTCAGACCCTCTAATGCATTTGTTATTTGTTCACACAGTAAGAATAATTATATTAATATATTCGAATATGTCAGATGCATGATAACATTAATAAAATCTATGTTCTCAATTTAATATTTTAGAAACAACTGAAGAAAGAGACCACTATTACTCAGTCTTGCGACAACTCTATTCCCAATATTCATCTAACATCCCTCAGATACAAAACCAACAACGTCCAGAATGGTTTACTAAATTCTTTGTTTCTAGTGTAAATGTCTCAGATATTCTTCGTACAACTCCAGAAAATGAAGATCCTCTCACTTATCTTGGTAATACTCATTTAATTTGATTAATTGAAAGTTCTAAATAGAAAATAAATTGATGTTTACTTATTCATTAATAGGCAAATTCACTTATACAATGGATCGCAGACATGGCGGATGCGCACCAATGCCATTACGATTCTGTACTACTTCAGAGCAAGGTGTGAATAAATGTAGAGATTTAGACAAAGTGGTCCGTTCTAGAAGAATATATGTTAAAATTGAATGTATTTTGGAGGCATCTACAGCCGATTGCATAACTGCTGTGAAAGAAGATAGAGCGCATCTTATTACATTAGATGGTGGCGATGTCTACCGTGCAGGAAGGTAAGTAAAATTTTTGGCCATTAATAATCTATTTAGACACGAAATAATTGAGATATTTTATAGATATTCGAACTTGATTCCAATTGCTTCAGAATTATATGGTAAATTAGATGAAGGTGCTACCTATTACGCTGTAGCAGTTGTACGTAGCAATAGCGAAATAAATGAATTAGAAGATTTAAGAGGCGAGCTTTTCATATAATTTTTAGTCATATTTTTTTAATTTTAAATACAGTTTAAAAAAATTTTTTTTCGCTGGCTTTTTAACAGGATTAAAAAGTTGCCACACCGGAATTGGTAGAACAGCAGGATGGGTTATGCCTGTTGGATTTCTTACCAGTAAAGATCTAATTTCAAAAAGTCAATGTGATAAAGCAGCTGCAATTGCCTCTTTCTTTTCCGCAAGTTGTGTACCTGGTGCTAACAATCCTAAATACAATCCTACTGGTTCTGGAGCAGACAAACTTTGTCAACAATGTATAGGTGACGTAAACGGAGAAAACAAATGCGCAAGAGGCTCTACAGAAAGATACAGCGGATATTCGGGAGCACTGCGTTGTTTGGCCGAAAACGGCGGCCAAATAGCATTCGTAAAGCATACTACAGTGCCCGAATATACAGATGGTAGCAGTGAATTAGAATGGGCAAAAGAGTTGAAATCCGAAAACTTCAAACTGCTATGCAGAAATGGAAGTATTGACAGTGTCGAAAATTATAAAGATTGCAATCTTGGACGAGTGCCCTCTCATAACGTAAGATAAAATACCGATAAGTTGTATTATTTACAAAATAACAATATATCTTAATCTAAATTGAAATTTTTGTTTCAGGTAATGATTTCGGGTGACTATCTCCCAGTACGATTATGGTTCACCGAATTGGTTACTGCACTTGACAAATGGTTTGGTTCATCGTCCAACAATTTTAATCTCTTCAAACCTTACGGAGGCAAAGCCGATCTTCTTTTCAAAGATTCTACAACAGCTTTAAAAGCAGTGCCCTTAACTAGTACCTATAAAGACGTTTTGGGTGAAGACTATGTTAATGCAGTCGAATCGACTGATCCTGCTCTTTGCGTAGATAATTCATAACTGTGATATTTTGACTTTATTTCTTTAAATTCAAGTAATTTGATATCACTTCAAAATATAATCAACAGTATTCTGTGAAGAATAAATGTCTTTCTTTTATGAAAATAAAATTGATTTTTATATAAAAATCGAATCTACTTTAACTTATTATATAAATAGAAGAAATTTAAATTTTTTAACATATATTTTAAATAAAAATTCAGATAAAAAAACTAAAATACTTTGCTATACTGCGAATTATTAATTTTTAATTATATATTATGCAACTTTAATAACTTCACCCCAAAAATGAATTAATTAAATTGTAATACAGTGTTAAAAATAGATTAAAGATGATTTTATATTTGCATTTTATAAGGAAATGTATCTTAATAATTGCTAAATGATTTAACTGAAATTAAAATAAGTATTGCGTATATAAATATCAGAATAGAATAAAATTTAAAATATAAAATAGTAATATTTCCAATTACAATAATAATAGTTAGAATGAATTTTTATTTTCTGCTCATATAATATATAATATAAATAATAATCTTAGAGTTTCGAAATATTATAAACAAATTATCATATTAATATGCAACATTTAAATATTATATAAGCATAAATTTTATTCCTTTTTCCCAGTAAGCAATTTTAAGCATTGTATATTGCTCGTGCCTATTAAAGAGACTTTAATACAGCTGGATAAGTAAACTAATGACGTAGTCCCTGCCAAATGAAACGGAATATATCATTGGATTGCTTATCCAGCTGTATTAAAGCCGCTTTACTAGGCAACCTTCTTCATATGTCATATCAGCCTATGTTCTACCCATTTCTATGCTAATAACAAAAAGGGAATTAAGCATAACAGATTCACAATTTGATAATAAAGAAAGAAATAAAGATAAAAGCCGAGAAACTAAACGAAAAAAATTGAAATTTATCTTTAAGTATTAGTAAACAATTTTTTAATACATATATCTGAATATTTATAACAGACTTTATATATTTATGTAATCGTTAACTCGACCTTCACATCCTACATATAAGCAATCGTAAGATTTTCTTTCATCTCTTCAAATACATATGTAATTGCTGAATGTTCCGGTAGATATAATATTCATGGGAGCGTAAACATTTATTTTATCTTACGTAATTTTTTAAAATTTTATCTTATTTAATAATTAAATTTGTAAGTTCAAAATTTAATTATTTTTGTTATTATTCAAAAAGAAAAAAATTACTTTGAATATTAATTTAATAAAAGCAATCAATAGATAGCAGCACGTATTTTATTACAAAATTAATGTAGCCCAAACTTCATAAATATTTTAAAATTTTCTCGATAAACTTTGCAATATTTAAATATATTAATAAGTTTGTGTATTTAAATATTTATTATACAATTTATATATATATACACCCATGTATACCTTCTGACCTAGAAGTTCGCGCATGAATAAAAGGGAAGTTTGTTGTCAAGATGCCTGTTGGCGATGAGAACTGTAATAATGTAAATTCGTCCTACCTTGTCTAACTCTCGACGTCGACCCTGACCACGTGTCTGTGTGTCTTCGTCTCGACGATAAGGCCGGAGTAAGACAACAGTCCAGACAATAATTTAAATCTTTATTTTAATCCACTAAGTGATATCTACAGATGAACTGGTGAGTTGCTGGACAGAGAACGATCTTGATATAGACGTTTACCTTGCAAAAAGTGTTTCCTTCCGTCTCCGTTGAAGGATATATAGGTCAGAAGCAAAGACATGGGTGACTGTGACCTTAGATACAGCGCTCTTGGTGGCAATGACGGGTACTATCGACCGCCATTTTATTTTAAGTCAAAACATAAATCTACACTACATGTTGGACAGGATTGTTACTTTAGAATCTATTTTTCTCATCTAAATTTAGTTTGTTTTATTTGCCCCTCGATTTGAGACTTAGGTAATTAGATAAGTGATATAAATCTAGATTCTTTCATGTCGAATTTAGCTATTTTTTAGATTTTATTTAATTATTATAAAGAAGGTCAGGTGTTGAAGGGCTTTACTCTTAGCCATATGATTGTTTATTTATAGTGTGCTCAGGTCAGTCTGATCGGTACCATACTCAGTACGTGTTGATTTTTTTCGGACGGTGATTTTTATTTTCTAGAATATAAATATTGTTCTTGTTTTTTATTATAGTTATAGTTTGTTTTTGAAAATTTTGGTTTCCAACTTGTAAAAATATTTACAATGAAAAAGTACATTTTGACCTTTGTCACGTTATGAACCACATTGTTGAAGTTAAAAAATCCTTCTAAGAGATAATAAGGAGCTAATAACTGGGAAATGGAAGAAGTGTCGCATTTACCCATCAAAAATAGACCAAGAAAACATGCCAGTAAATGAAAGATATGTAGAAACTGCATCATTAGGATGTGTACAAATTGTGCATGATAAATGTCATTCTGAATAACAAAAGTATATTAAGACGAACTAACCTTTTGTTCGTTATGTTGTAGACAACAAACAACCTTAGACATCGAAGTCGTGAGCCTGAAGAGGGATTGGAAAATTACCAATCCGAAATTCATTGTTAAATAGCAAAATAAAGTGAACTGTTTTAATTTTGGTCTCTGTTAATTGCGGATAATTAAGAAAGACATGATAAATTCCAATAGTCTAACTATTGCTTTTTAAAAGTTATAAGTAAAGAAAAAATCTTTACTTATAACTTTTTATATTTTTAATTATTATCGAATGGCAAAAACCTCAATTTTGAGGGTAGTGATGAGTTTTATAAAAAAAAAAAAAAAGAAAAATTGTAAATGTTAATAACGAATAACATCCTCATTAAGTCCGCCTTCTTAAGAATTTCACGGCTTCCTAACCAATTTTTAACCTCTCCTTTTGCAATATACAAAACATGACGAAGAATGGTAGACACGAGACGCTGGCACACATCTTTTGGAATTCGCAACCATTCTTCTGTTAAAATAATCGTCAACTAAATTTCGTCTTTTGGTTTTCTTTTGTGGAATCGTTTCTCGGGTAATAGCCATAAATCTTCTATACAGTTCATATCTGGAGAATTGGGCGCTCAGCCAATAACCTGAATGTTGTGGTTTTCTTAATTAACTACGCAGCAATGGAAGCAGCAGTATGGGCTTTAGCATCATGTTAAAACACGAAGTTACCCTTAGGAGCCAGTGGGTCGAGAGATGGGAGAAGATTATCATTTAACGGTCTCTGATAGTCAACTACCTTTAACGTTGATTCATAAGTAACCATATTACTTAGGCCAGCAACGTTAAAGCAGCCCATAACTTATTTGCATCTTAAGTGGAAACTTAACTTCTTAACTTGTTGTTTGATGCAGATTTTCTTCAGGCGTTCTAATGATCCTGAGTTCAGTATTTCCGTACAAGACCTCGAAAGACGACTCATCAGACGATCGATATTAATCTTGATGTGTCCAATGCAGAGGATCTTTAGCCCACTGATACCTCTTCTTCTGGGCCTTCGTTAGCAGGGACTTACGCTTGGCTTTGATGATCTTCTCTATTCGATGTAGTCTTTTGTTTTCCATATTTTCTCTTTGGTACAAGGATAGGAGGAATCATAGTACTTAAGGAAAGACCGTACAGAAGATTTGGAAATGGCGAGGTTTCTCCCAATTTCTGTTATTAAGATACCTGCTAAATTTCTGTTATCAAGATACCTGCTAAACGTTTTTGGACAATTTTTTCCGATTTCGAGAAATAGCATGGATTTTCCCATGTTTGACGTAGAAATGACTGACGTTTGGACCTGTTGAACGTCGATGTACTCATTTTCCGCAATACGCAGCAGATTATGCTGGTAGATAATTACGTGTATTGATAACATAGCCACCATTGCTAGTACAGGGAAAACTTTAAGGGTAGTGCTTTTACTACATGTGAAATCTTTTCACGTGACTTCTGCAATAATTTTTGAATTTTATCTCACATTTTTTAAAAACCAATAACAAAACCTTACTCTTTCTAAATTGCATCGTCTCCACATGCTCATCCGATGCTTTTTCATAACTGCACGTAACATATTTTCTGGGATGGAGTGTATTTCTAGGTCAAGGTAAAAGATATATATATATATATTTTAGTTAAGTAAAATAACATTATTATACTATGTTTTATTAATAAGTAATAATATTAAACTGTAATACCAAGTTAACTATAATCAAGTCTAATAGCTAAAAGGTAAAATATATATATATATATCTTTTACCTTAAATTAAATTTTGTAAATTACTTAAAAGATTAAATTTTTTCAATATAAAAGTTAAAAGATTAACATTTTGAATCGGAATAATTTAAAAGAAATTGTTTTAAAAGTGTTATTCTTAATGAAAAATATTTGCTACAATGTGAAAAATTATTAGTTTTTATTTCTTTAATACATCTCGATATGGATTTAATAATAAATGGATGTGAAAACAACAAAAATAATACGAGTTATACGAACAAAAATAAACAAATTTAATGAAATGACTTTAAGTAAATGACTTTTTGAAAAAAATAAAAATGGCTTTTGTCAAGAATTGCTTCTTCAAAGTAAAGATAAATATTAATTTCTCTTCACTCGATGTATTCTTTTTCATACAAATGAATCAAATTGAATTGTTGGGATAAGACAACGCAACATATGCGCGATCTGCCAGAGAGTGCCACTCTGGTGGACTTTCTATGGGAAAATGGCACCTATTTAATAGAACTAGGAAATAAAATATTAAAATATTAAATAAAACTAGGAAAGCTCTGGCCAGCCCGTGAATAAGGAATGAGCCTAGGCATCATATATCAATGTTCAGTAATTTCAGCCATTCGGCCACAGTGGGCTCTTCGTACAATTGATCACTAATGAGTTCTAATGTTCGCTTCTTGTTCTGAAAATTCTATAATAAATATCCGGAACCTTGCAACATTTGTTATACTGCCAATTCATCTAATCCTGAGGCAAGCAGGTCAACCTATGCACAGTATTTTATACAATTATAAAGAATAACATTCACTAAAGTTATTTTAATCATCTGTTTACTTTCAAACATAATAAAGATTGAATAAATAATCACATAATCATTTTAATATAAGATAGTATGTTGTTAAAAGATAATTCCCCGTATTTCAATTCAATTTCTAGTAATTTATAAATTATGTTAAATTATAAATTAAAAATTATGCTCGTATATTGGACATTTGAAGTAATGATTTAAATGGTCGACGTAATAAGTGATGCAATTGTCGTGACGTAGTAGTTAATTAACAATACTTTCCAATTATTCTTTGTTTTATTGTTGGCCAATAAAATGGAAAGACAATTTCTCGGAGATTTTGATTGTTCTTCTGTGTATTTCGAAATTTTCGGCGGAATTTTGATTCGGTATGTTTCCTGAAAGGAAGTAAATCTTTGTTTCTTATTTAAGTGATTAAAATTGAATAAATTAGAATAGAGTTTTCACACCAAACATCATCACTTAGATTTAAGCTTTTTGTTCAAATTATCGTCGAATTAAATTAATTAGGTTGATTTATAAATAGATTTCAGTTAAACATAACCTGATTTTCGTTCAAATCCGGTATTTATCTTCAAACTAATAAAATAATCGTGCGATAATTTTTAAAATTCAAAACAAGTCAATTCGGAGATATATTTCATTCTCTTAACATATTTTACGAAAGATATAATTTGGTGTGTGGAGAAGTTTAATACCGGAATCTGTCAGCGATATTTCATGTTTAAATAACAATAGGAGATACATAAAGTAAATAAACAGAAAGCATCCGTTTTAATTATATAGAAGCTATTTCTTAATATATAAGCGATATTGGAACCAGGATTTGTCAAACATACAGTATGTAATATAAGCGATGCCCTAAACAGCTAGTCCTACTTGCCTGTATTGAAGTCAAATAAAACAGTATAAGGAGTATCATCACTACACTACAACACTACAGGAGTATAGATCAAGTGATGACACTACTAGTGTCATCACTTGATCTATAACTTGACCTGAACCAATTACGTTTAAATTGCGGAATAGTTACTTTTATGTACCATAATTTTATTTATTCTCTAAGAATCGTACATACTTTTACCATATAAACCAGTGCACTAGTGTAAATCATCACCTTTTATCTTAAAAATAATTCATTTCAGATATTTTACAAGAATATTATTTGCTGGTTTGTGTTGCTTCAAAATTAAAATTTCTTCCTCACAAGAACAAGAATCTTGATCAGTATTCTATTTTCTACACTTTCTTTCCGTTTAGTATCTATAATAATTGAAATTTAATAGGTGATAATTATGTTCTATTGAGAATTTGAATTAATATAGAAGCTTATATTTTAGTATTTTACGTCATAATTTTACAAATCAATATACTTGATACCTTATTTAATAACGCATCTGAAATAATCTTTCGAAAACTACTTTTGTAGAATGGATATTGTCATTGTATTAAATTTATCAGTGGAACAGTTAATATAATTCAAGGTCCTTTCTAGATCTATTAATATAATTAATTACAGAAATGACAATGTGGAAAATTGACGCGCAAAATCATTAGCATACATTTCTTATATTAACGTGAAGATGGAGCAATATCTTTCGCAATTAAACACATTTATAAATGTTCAATATATAAAAATAAATTTCAAAAAAGGAAAACAAACGAAGAACTTATTCCCTCTTCAGCTATTCC